ATATTTATTTTGTAGTTTTCGGCGGACACAACATCTTTGTTTGTATGTGGTGCTGAGGATCGAACCCGGGCCGCACGCATGCCAGGCGAGCTAGCTACCCCTTGAGCCACATCCCCAGCCCAAGGGTTTTGGTTTCTTACCTTAGTTTCTCATTCCCTCTTTAAGTGTGTTTTTTACCCTTTTTATTTTGTGAGGTACCAGGGATTGACCTCAGGGGCACTGGACAACTGAGCTACATCCTCAGACCTATTTTGTATTCATTTTAGAGACAAGGTTTCATGGAGTTACTTAGTGCCTCATCTGCTGACACTGATTCTCCTGCCTCAGCCTCCAGAGCCTGGGTGAGCCACCTGGCTTTTCTTACCCTTTGTATAGCCTTCAGCCAGTTTCCTGGTGAGGGTTCAGATGACCTGGTCACAATGTGAGGGTCGTGAGGATCTGATCACAAGGGGTTGGTGTTACATGACCTTGAAACAATCCTTTCCTTAAAGGCGAGGTTTGGCTCACCAATTTCCATTTTCCAGATGTTTGCCTTTTGTGATAAAGTTCCCTGTGACTCCCAGTCCTGTGACTTATGAACTCTCTTTGATATATATATATATGTTGTACTGCCTGTAAAACACAGTACAACATACATATATGTCCATCCCCTACCCCTAATCACCTGCTCAAGGTTAAACCATCTACCTACAGTAGGAAGAAAAAAATTAAATAAATAAAAGAAAGAAAAAGTCCATAGACTCAGGTTGGAGATATAGCTCAATGATAGAGTTTGTTTAGCATATGCCCTGGGTTGATCCCTGATACTACAAACAAAACAAAACAAAACAAGCCTAGAAACAAAATTAACTCTTCCAAAAAGAACCGAAAGAACCAGAAAACAACACTCTCCACCCCAAAGTCCAGCAGAGACAGAAAGCACAGTAGTATTTGCCAGGGGTTAATGAGAGAGCAGAATGGGGAGTAATTGCTGACAGGTATGGAATTTCCCCCCACTTTTCTTAAGTTGTACATGGACACAATATACCTTTATTTTTTTAAATTTATTTTTATGTGGTGCTGAGGCAAGTGCTCTCTACCCTAGCTCCTGGAGTTTCTCTCTGGAATGATGAAAATATTTTAAAACTGGATAGTTGGTGGTTGCACGATATTGTGAATGTATTTATTTTTTTTATTTTTGGTACTCAGAATTGAATCTATGGGTGCTTAACCATTGAGCTACATCCCAGCCCACCCTTCTTTCTTTCTTCCCTCCCTCCCTCCCTCCTTCCTTCCTTCCTTTCTTCAACAGAAGTCAGGGGCACTTAACCACTGAGCCACATTTCCAGCTCTTTTTATTTTTTGAGACAGGGTCTTGCTAAGTTGCTTATGACCTCACTAAATTGTTGAGGCTGGCCTTAAATTTGTGATCCTTCTGCCCCAACCCGAATTGCTGGGATTACGTGGTTATGCTCCACCATGTGCTACCAGTGTATATTTTATTTATTTATTTTGGTACCAGAAATTGAACCTAGGGAGGGATTAACCCCTGAACCACATCCCCAGCTCTTCTTATTTTTTATTTTGAGACAGATCTCACTAAATTACTTAGGGACTGGCTGAACTGCTGAGACTGACTTTGAACTTGTGATTCTCTAGCTTCAGACTAGATGTAGACTTTAAAGTGAGCTGGGCATGGTGGCACATACCTGTATGGGAGGATCGCAAGTTCCAGGGCAGCTTCAACCGTGTTTCTCCTTTGCTACCAAAGCAATAACAGTGGTCTACTTTATGCTTTAAAATTGCAATCTGTTTATTTACTTATTTAGTAGTGCTGAGGATTTAACCCAGGGACTTGGGCTTGCAAGGCAAGCACTGTATCAACTGAGCTAAATATCCCCAGCCCTGCTGGGGATAAATAGGTTTAAAAAACCTATTTTTTAAAAAAATAATTATTATTAAGTTGTAGTTACACAAAAATATATTTATTTTATTTATATGTGGTGCAGAGAATTGAACCTATAGCCTCACAGGTGCTAGGCAAGCTAGCTCTAAAACTGAGCCACAACCCCAGCTCCCCCCCCCAACTTACTTTTAAAGTGCACACATTTCTTTCTTTTCCTCCGTCCCTGCTCCTCCCTAATTACTCCCCACTCCCTAACCTCCGGGAAAATTACCTTTCTTTCCCAACCTAGGCAGAATTATCTGTCCTTGAGTACACACACCCATCACCGGAACAAAGTAATACAGACTTTGGGGATGGTACAGGAAGATCACAGAAACCAATACCTCCCAAATTAACAAGTGAATTAACAACTCTAGACTGAGAACCTCTTTAACACACACACACATACACGTTTCTCCTTTGCTAGCAAAGCAATAAACCATTTTCCTTTTACTCAAAACCATGTCCTTGTTATTGGATTGGCATCGGGAACAAGGATGGAGCGTTTGGCAACAAGAAGCTGTCTCAAAAAATAAAAGTACTCAATAACTCTGGGTTCAATCCCCAGCACCACAAACAAAACCAAATAGCACAAACAAAAAATACCAAACAAAAACACCCCAAACCAAAAATATCTAGAATAGTATTTGACTAAATACTTGGGGACCACCTTGGCCTAGTCAAACTGACATATACAATTCCCTTTCTAGGTATAAGCCCAGAGAGATGCCAGCAAGGGTATCCTGTCTGTGTAAGGCTGTATATCATAGTATCACAGGGAGCACAGGTGGAGAGTGGCTGCCTGGAGTCTTCACTGGGCAATGAGTCCACCAGAAAGGCCTGTGATGGAGCCTCCCTGATGGGTAGCAGTGGGTAGTCTAAGCCATGCCATTCAGAGGTTTCCATGCATCAATCCTGCCAGAGGACTCTCAGGAGTCCAGAAAGAAAGGATGAGGAAAAGGAGGCAGTAGGAACAGTATGGGCAATTAAGGAAGGAAAATGGCATAATAAAGTATAGGTGGGGGACTGGGGCTGTGGCTCAGTGGTAAGTGCCCTAAACAACTAAAAATATTGAAGAAAAATAAAGGTCTATTGACAACTAAAAAAATATTTTTTTTAAAAACAGTACAAGCTGGGCGTGGTGGTGCATGCCTGTAATCCCTGCAGCTCAGGAGGCTGAGGCAGGAGGATCATGAGTTCAAAGTTAGCCTCGGCAAAAGTGAGGCACTAAGTAATTCAGTGAGACCCTGTCTCTAAATAAAATTCAAAATAAGGCTGGGGATGTGATTCAGTGGCTGAGTATAGCTTAGAGGTTCAATCCCTAGTATGAAAACAACACCAACACCAAAAACAAAACAAAACGAGAAAAAAGTGTGTGGGGGGGAACAGCAATAACAGCAATGAATTTTTTAAAAATGAAAAGAAAAAATATTCATAGGGGAATCTCTCGAAAAGGCAAATCCATAGTGAACAGTGAGTGTCAGTGACTGAGAGGAGAGGCTGTGAGTTTCCTAGGGTTCCCAAAACAAAATACTACAAACTACGTTTTTAAAAACAACAAAAATTTATTCTCTCAGAGTTCCACAGGCCAGAAATCTGAATTATAGTTTTTGGTAGTGTTGGTTTCTTTGGGAATTTATGGGGGGAGATTGTGTCCCATGCCTGTCTGATGGTTTCTGAATACTCTTGGCCAACATTTCTTTGCCTCCAAACACATAATTCCAATCTCTGTCTGCTCCCCTTTTCAGTACTGGATACTGAAGATTGAACCCAGGGGTGCTCTACCACTGAACCACATCCCCAGCTCTTTACTATTATTGTTATTTTTGTACTGAGGATTGAACCCATGGATATTTTTTTTTTAAAGAGAGAGTGAGAGAGGGGAGAGAGAGAGAGAATTTTTAATATTTATTTTTTAGTTCTCGGCGGACACAACATCTTTGTTGGTATGTGGTGCTGAGGATCGAACCCGGGCCGCATGCATGCCAAGCGAGCGCGCTACCGCTTGAGCCACATCCCCAGCCCCCCATGGATATTTTTGATTGAGCTACATCCCCAGTCCTTTTTATTTTGACCCAGGCTTTCACTAAATTGCTGAGGCTAGCCTTGAACTTGCCATCCTCCTGTCTCATTCTCCCAAGTAGCTAGGATTACATGCCCAGGATTCTGCTTCTATCTTTTTACAAATGTTTTCCTTGTGTACACATATCTTCTTCTAAAGGTACCAGTCATATTAGATTAAGATTTACTCTATTCCAATTGGATTCAGTGGCATATGCTGGTAACCCAAGAGACTTGGGAGGCTGAGGCAGGAGGATCACAAATTCAAAGCCAGCCTCTGCAACACAGTGAGGCCCTATCTCTAAATAAAATATAAAAAGGGCTGGGGCTGGACTGGGGATGTGGCTCAGTGCTTAAGTGCCCCTGGGTTCAATGCCAGGTACAAATAAAAAAAAATTAGCCTACTTCAGTGTGACCTCATTGTTACTTAAAATCTGCAAAGGCCCTATTTCTAAATAACTTCATATTCACAGGTACTTCAAAATATCTTTTTGGAGATACAAATAAGCACAAGATAGGGGCATAGTGAGTTGAATTTGTACCCCGCAAGAAGATACACCTGTAATATAAACTTTAGAAAGGGTCTTTGCAGATAAAATTCAACATACCAAGATTAGTTCATTTTGGTTTATCCAGATAGGCCCGAAATCCATGATGAGCGTTCCTGTAAAAAACAGAGACACATTCAGTGATGCATGGGTTTGGGGTGATGCCTAAGGGTAGAAGGGAGAACCAGACACAGGTGTGGAGTTTAGGGAAGGAAGAGAGGTGAGGTGGCTATCCGTGGCCAGGTCTTCAACTGGGGTGGTGGGCAGTAATCAGCTGCTCTGGATGCAGTCTGAACAGCCCCTGCACATTGTTTCCCCCCCTTGAAGCCCTGTCTGCAAGGCCAGATTATTCCTGGTGGACCAAGGAGTGAGTCTTTTTAGAGGGTGAGCAAGGAGTACAGAGGGCAAGGGCTTGGTTCCCTGGGGAAAGAGCCAAGGCAAACTCCTGTCCTGTCATATACCTCTGGGCCTCTGGCTGTCCAGCTTTTCCCAGAGAAGACCTGAGGAAAGGTCTTGCCCTGGCCCTGTTTGGCCCATCCCTGGACTATTCTTGGGACTGCCTGCTCTCCCTTCCTCCAGTGCTGTCCTAGCACTTTCCAAAGCTTCATTTTCCTCATCTGGATAATACAGAGACAGCAGCCTGGTGCCTGGTGGTGAGGGGATGGTCCAAGGCCTGCTATTGATACTGCATGTCACCAGCTTGTGTGGTTGCCCCACACTGGGGATGAAGGTTCACACTGGGGACCTAGGAGATGGGAATGGGGGGCTCTGCCAGGGGAAGGCCTGTAAAGGGACAGCCAACATAGGGTGCCAGGGGACCCAACCTCTCTCTAGGACCTGCTGGATGTACAGTCACCTCTCTGGGCAATTCCTACAGACCCCTCACTTCACTGCTTTTCACTTTACCAGTTGCTTATCCTAGTCTGCCTCAGAATCTTTGCATTTGTTTTTGCCTGAACTGTTCTTCCTGTGCAGATGTTTGGGGGCAGCTCCAGGGCTAGCCACTACCATCTTCCACTCTTTTTTGGGCTACAGGATCTCGCTGGTTTGCTCAGGCTGGCCTGGAACTTTGGATGCTCCTGCCTCAGCCGCCCAAGTGGCTGCTCTGCGACTGTCCAAGTCTCCAGCCAGGGTCCCTGCCGGGTCGTGGCGGCGGGGCAGCACTGGGGAGGGCACTGAGCGGCCCAGCAGGGCCAGAACAAAGGCAGGGGCGGGGACAAGCCCGCGGTCCCCGGCTTCGCCGCGATAAAGGCCACGTTGGCCTGGCGGCCAGCCCCGGAGACCTTGTCTCCAGCGCTCTGCAGAAAGCCGCAGACCATGGCGTTTCTTCCTGCGAGTTCCTGCAGGGTCCCCCTTCCTCGGGTCCCGCTGCTCCCCAGATAGCTTTAGTCGCAAGCTCGCGCCTTGACCCGGAATCTTCCCTGCCAGATCCTGCTCCCCTCTGTGGGATTGCTCTCCTCCAGACCCTTTTTTCTCCCAAGAAAATAATCGACGCAGAACCTGCTTCTCTACCCACTCTATTTTTTTGGTACTAGGAAATGTACCCAGGGGCGCTTAACCCCTCAGTCACATCCCGAGCCCTTTTTGCATTTTATTTAGAAATAGAGTCTCACTGAGTTGCTTAGGGCCTCCCTAAATTGCTGAGGCTGGCTTTTAACTCGGATCCTCCTGCCTCAGCCTCCAGAGCCGCTGGGATTACAGGCAGGCACCACCGCACGGGCCCTCTCCTCACTTTAGAGGTTTAGTTCGCCCACATGGGAAAAAAAGACATAGGGCTGGCTAAAACACAAGGAGTCTTTGGGGTTTGGGCAGAACTTTACGAACTGGCCTGCATATGACTTAGTGGATCTCTAGTTTCCAAAATTCAACAATACGGAGGTTACCATAGCCTCCACCTCGAGGCAGAACCTAGCCAAACGCCCCTCCACCTGCGCCACACCCACTGCATGTTGGGCCCGCCCCCTCTCCAGAAGCAGTGGGGACGTAGCGGCAGACGTCTCACCCCCAACCGAAGGGCGGGGATTGAGTGGAGGTATGCCATGCCCAAGCTCGAGAACGCAGCCCACCACCGCGCGTTCGGTGGGGACGTGGAGCTAGGCAGAAATCACGCTCCGCTAACGGTGCAGACGCCCAGCTCGCGAATTCAGTTGCGGCGGTGACGTCAAAGAAACCACGCCCCCTTCCAGGTCGTGCCGAAGTGGGGTTGGCCGTGGTGGGCCGACCCCGCTCGGGCGCGTGCGTACTCGCGGGCTTGCCCCCGGCGCCCGGCTTGAGCCCCGCCCCCGGGCGTTCGGCGCTCACCGCGCGTGCGCGTCGGCGTCGGCGCCAGTTATTTCTGTCCCGCCCCCAAACCGCGGCTCTTTCTGCGAGCGGGCGCGCGGTCGAGCGGTTGTTCGCGGAGCTTGTGGCGCGTGTCTCGGCGGTGGCTGAGGACGCTTGAGTGGCGCCGTTGTGAGGTGATCAGGCAGCAGCCGGCCCTGCCTCAGCAGCGCCCCGCACGCGGCCAGCGGCAGCCCCCAGAGACGCGTGGCGGCGCTCGGCCTCGCGGCGTCGGCGGCGGCCCAGCCGTTGGCGGCGAGTGGGTCTGCGCCTGCGCGGCGGGCCCCGCGCCCCTCCTCCCCCCTGGGCGCCCCCGGCGGCGTGTGAATGGCGGCCTCGGCGGCGGCGGCGGCCTCAGCGGCCGCGGCCTCGGCTGCCTCGGGCAGTCCTGGCCCAGGCGAAGGCTCGGCGGGCGGCGAGAAGCGCTCCTCCGCCTCTTCGGCCGCGGCCTCGGCCTCGGCCTCGGCCTCTGCGTCCTCGCCTGCGGGGGGCGGTGGCGAAGCTCTGGAGCTGCTGGAGCACTGCGGCGTGTGCCGGGAGCGCCTGCGGCCGGAGAGGGAGCCGCGACTGCTCCCCTGCTTGCACTCGGCCTGTAGTGCCTGCCTCGGGCCCGCAGCGCCGGCCGCTCCCAATAGCTCGGGGGATGGCGGCGCAGCGGGCGACGGCGCCGGTGAGTACCGGGTGCGGGGCGCCCCTCCCCCTCCCCGCCACCCCTGATCCGGACGCGCCGCCGAGACCCTGGACTGCGCCTGTGCGAGCGCACCGGGGCCGCGGCAGGGTTGTGGGCCTTCGTGGTAACGGTGGGCCCTGAGATGGGCGTCTGACTGAAGTTGGAGGAGATCTGGCTCGGGGAGTGGAGGGTCGCTTCCGCTGGAGAATGGGGGTTCAGCCTAGGTGCAAGCGAGCGTCGTTCTCAAATCCCTGCCTCTCCGCCTTTCACAGTGGTGGACTGTCCGGTGTGCAAGCAACAATGCTTCTCCAAAGACATCGTGGAGAATTACTTCATGCGGGATAGTGGCAGCAAGGCTTCCTCCGATGCCCAGGATGCGAACCAGGTGCGTTCTGCTTTACAGGAACCTAGTACCAGCCCCAGTTGTTACTTTCTAGGTAATATCACAGCCCTGGTGGGTTGCCTAGGTTGAGGAACAGACCCACCATATTCTCGCGATGTAGTTCCTGGGAGGTAAACCCGGATCTAGCAGGTTGTCCTGCCTTTGTGATCCTGTCTTTTCCCTGACAGTGCTGCACTAGCTGTGAGGATAATGCTCCAGCCACCAGCTACTGTGTGGAGTGCTCGGAGCCACTATGTGAGACATGTGTGGAGGCTCACCAGCGGGTGAAGTACACCAAGGACCACACTGTGCGCTCTACTGGTATGTGGTGGGGTTGTAGCTGGAGCTGCCCTGTGTATGTCTTTAGTTGCTTATAGTGCTGGTTTTCATCTGGAGGTGGTACCTTCCAAAAAGCCCCAGGGCAGAACTCCCTAGGCTCTGATTTGCAATCTCTCTGGGGGCCTAGGTGGAAGGAAAATAAAAGGCCATGGGTAGGGGAGGCATAGGGGCCCTCAGCTACAGGGGTACCAGGATTCAAGAAGGTCTTCTTGGAAGCACTCTGTCAGAGAGGGCCCAGGTTGGTGAAGGGCTGAACATAGGGTTTTGGGCTCCCTGGCACTTAGCTTTCGACTTGCACTGGGGAAAGTGGGGTTTCTGGACCATCATTGATGGTAGTACTGGAATATGTCAGCTGTTGAGGCTGACGGATCCTACCTAAAGCTTAGTCATGTATTTGTAGGTTTTTGTGAGTATGTGGGTTTGGGTTGGAAAGGGGTTTGTGTGATAGTGGAGTTTGATAGCTGTGGATCCTGAGGAGCTGAACTGGGAGGAATGGGCAAGGATCTGCAGAGGTCCCAGCTTTCAGGTTCTTGGCCAATGTTGAGGAGGTGGGCTGCATAGAAGCCTAGGTCTGATTGATCTCTGTTATGTGCTACATAATTTAGGCCTAATCAGTATAGTTAGGACTTGATTAGTGTTGAGCAGGAAAGAGACTGATGTGCCTGATTTTGTAATGGGGAGACTGGTGCGGGAGTTATTGGCTTGTTGGTTTTTAGTGGTATTACTCTTAACACCAGGACCCTGCCCCACATTCTGAGAGTCCCAGTGTAACATTTTATCTTTGAGAAGTCTCAGCTGGGTATCCTAAGGGTCTTTCATTTGTAAGGAATTCTTTTTGTTAGGGAAGAGGGAGGACAACAATGAAAGAGGAGAAAGGTAGCCAATTGGAAGATGGTTTGTAGGTGGGCAGAACACTGAACAATCACCCGGGTAAGTTTCAATTAGAGAGAGTAATGAGATCTCTATTGATGAGCTGTCATCTTTTTTTTTTTAACTTGTTAATTTGTGGTACTGAGAATGAACCCAGTGCCCCACACATGCCAGGCAAGTGCACTGCCGCTGAGCCCCATCCCCAGCCACTTATTTGTTTGCAAATAAATACGTAAAATAATAAATATTTAATTTTGAATTGTAGATGGACTCAATGCCTTTATTTTTACGTGGTGCTGATGATCGAATCTAATGCCCCATGCATGCCAGGCATGAGCTCTACCTCTGAGTCACAATCTCGGCCTTTATTTATTTTAATGTGCTGAGAATTGAACCCAGTGCATCACATCACTCTACCACTGAGCCACAACCCCAGCCCTGACAGGCTGTCATCATTAATCTTTTATTGTCACTCATGGAAGCTAATAGAAATGGAGTATTTTCTTGAGCAAGCTGGGGGAGATTGTTTGGGGAGCAAGGAGCAGCCACTGCCATGTGCCATCTAGGCTTTCTCAATAGAATAGACAGGAAATATCCCAAGCTCTGTCTACTGGCCCAGTTAGAATTGGCCAAGAGTAGGGTCCAGCCTCATGGTTCTTAACTTCTCAGGGCCGGCCAAGTCTCGGGATGGTGAACGTACTGTGTATTGCAATGTGCATAAGCATGAACCCCTTGTGCTGTTCTGTGAGAGCTGTGATACCCTCACCTGCCGGGACTGCCAGCTCAACGCCCACAAGGACCACCAGTGAGTCCCAGAGCACAGCGGGTGGGAGGATGCCACTTCTTGGGCTCAGCATTTAGGTAAACCTTTTTTGCTCTCAGGTACCAGTTCCTGGAGGATGCAGTGAGGAACCAGCGCAAGCTCCTGGCCTCATTGGTGAAGCGCCTTGGGGACAAACATGCCACATTGCAGAAGAGCACCAAGGAGGTTCGCAGCTCGTAAGTGTGGATGTGAGAGGTGTGGGGAACCCTGGGTAAGACACTTCCCAGCTTGACCTACCTTGTCCTCTAGGATCCGCCAGGTATCTGATGTGCAGAAGCGTGTGCAGGTGGATGTCAAGATGGCCATCCTGCAGATCATGAAGGAGCTTAACAAGCGTGGCCGTGTGCTGGTCAATGATGCCCAGGTAAACCTTGTGCAGGTGGAGGAGTACCTGGGTACCCACTGCTTTCCTTGCTGACCTTGTTCCCTTTACCCACAGAAAGTGACTGAAGGTCAGCAGGAACGTCTGGAGAGGCAACACTGGACCATGACCAAGATCCAGAAGCATCAGGAGCATATCCTACGCTTTGCCTCTTGGGCTTTGGAAAGTGACAACAACACAGCTCTACTGCTTTCTAAGAAGCTGGTGTGTGGTGGTGGGCTACAGTTGGGTGGGCCCCTGCACTCTGGGGTTCTATTTGTTGTTCAATGTTAATGTCCCACATACTTGTCCCACCAGATCTATTTTCAGTTGCACCGAGCCCTCAAGATGATTGTGGATCCCGTGGAGCCACACGGTGAGATGAAGTTTCAGTGGGACCTCAACGCCTGGACCAAGAGTGCCGAGGCATTTGGTGGGTTCCAGTTTTTGCCCTTGTTCTACTTTGGTGCCACCCTAGAGACTGTACCTACTTAGCTTTTTCTTTTCTTCAGGCAAGATTGTGGCTGAGCGTCCTGGTAGCAATTCCACGGGCCCTGCGCCCATGGCTCCTCCAAGAGCTCCAGGGCCTCTGAGCAAGCAAGGCTCTGGTAGCGGCCAGGTGAGCAGGGGAGAGGACCCAGGGAGAGGCAGGGCATAGGGTCGAACTGAGACTGAGGTCCTCTTGCTCTGCTCTGTTTGCAGCCAATGGAGGTACAGGAAGGTTATGGCTTTGGGTCAGGTGAGTGCATCTTTCTGGGGGCAGGGTGAGAGGACACGATAATGCCCTGTGTCTACCCCTTTGTCATCTTCATATTTGTGTTCTCAATAGATGATCCCTATTCAAGTGCAGAACCACATGTATCAGGCATGAAGCGGTGAGTGGCTGTCCTTAGGGGTGGGGTGAGGGATAGGGACAAGTGGATGCTTAAGCCAAGGTCTACTTATAGAGCCCGCTCAGGTGAGGGTGAGGTGAGCGGCCTCATGCGGAAGGTGCCACGGGTGAGCCTCGAACGCCTGGACCTGGACCTTACAGCTGATAGCCAGCCACCCGTCTTCAAGGTCTTTCCAGGCAGCACCACTGAGGACTACAACCTCATAGTTATTGAACGTGGTGCTGCTGCAGCGGCTGCTGGTCAGCCAGGGAGCATGCCTCCAGGAGCCCCTGGTGCACCGCCCCTGCCTGGCATGGCTATTGTTAAGGTGAGCTTGTCCCAAGGGACCATTGGAAGGTGGCATTTGGTCACCAGGGTCTGACTGGCTTCTCTCTTGAACACCCTTCACTGCCTTGTAGGAAGAAGAGACGGAGGCTGCTATTGGAGCCCCTCCTGCTGCCACTGAGGGCCCTGAGACCAAGCCTGTGCTGATGGCTCTGGCTGAGGGCTCTGGCACTGAAGGTCCCCGCTTGGCCTCACCTAGTGGCAGCAACAGCTCAGGCCTAGAGGTGGTGGCTCCAGAGGGTACTTCAGCCCCAGCTGGTGGCCCAGGTACTCTGGATGACAGTGCTACCATTTGCCGTGTATGCCAGAAGCCAGGTGACTTGGTCATGTGCAACCAGTGCGAGTTTTGCTTCCATCTGGACTGCCACCTGCCTGCCTTGCAGGATGTGCCAGGGTGTGTATGAGGCTGGGTGGGGTCTGGGTAAGGCATGATAACTGGGCAGGTTCCTGTGCATTTCCTCCTTTTCACCCCAGGGAGGAGTGGAGTTGCTCCCTCTGCCATGTGCTCCCTGACCTGAAGGAGGAGGATGGCAGCCTTAGCCTGGATGGTGCCGACAACACTGGTGTGGT